CAGAGCCCTCCCAGCCAAGGCAAAGAGCTGTCAGTCACCTTCCTGATTTTATTAAAGCAGGGCTAATAAACTATTAATATTCCCTCCTCAGACTCATTGCCTGGAATTTCTGGGGCACGTTGTATTTACAGTAGATCACACTAAAAAAAAAAAAACCAAGGAAGTAAATGGGATATCAGACAGGAGGTCTTGAATTCCTCCAGGGATCCAGGGGCATCTTCTCTGGGCAACTTCACCCTCACAGGGAAGGATTTCTTCCCAATATCCCACTCAACCCTTGTCCTGGCAGTTTAAACCCATTCCCCCTCGTCCTGTCATTCTCTGCCCATATAAAAAGTCCCTCTGAATTAAACTCTGAATTAAAGGGTTCTTAACCTAATGAAAGCTCCCTAAATAGGACCCTCATAACGAGCATGGAAAAATCCTTACCAGGGAGTTTTTCTAACCTTATTTGGGCACTGGAAGAGGCTCCAAGGTCTCCCCAGAGCCTTCTCTTCCCAACTCAAGCAGGTGGGATGGTTTGGTGTGGAGCCCCCTCTGTGGGGTCCCTTTTGGATCTTCCTGGTGGAAGCACAGACCAGGATAAAATCCAGGATTCCAAGCCCTGTGCGAGCTGCCTGGGAAGGCAAAGCTTAATGTTTTATTAATGTTTTATTAATAACGACAAGCCAAGAACATGCAGAGACAAAACATGAAGTGTTTTTTTTCCCAAAAGCTGGGATCTGATGGAGTTGCTCCACGGAAGGGCCGTTTTCCCTCAGCGCTGCTTGGACCTGTCGGGGGAAGTGTCGTTCCCCAGAAGGTCTTTTATGGATTTTATTGCCTAAAATCTGAGTTTGAAAATGTAACAGAGGGAAATATTCCCTGCCTGGAGAATGAGCCCTGGCTGCCTCATCCCTGAAAGTGTCCAAGGCCAGGTTGGAGCAACCTGGGCTAGTGGAAGGTGTCCCTGCCCGTGGTAGGGGGTGGAAAGATGATTTTTAGGGTCCCTTCCAACCCAAATCATCCTGGGATTCCATGATTTCTCCTCGCCTCCTCCAGCTGCAAACATTTGCCTGTATTTGACAACCAGACTTTGATTATTTGGGCATCAATACAAGCAGAGTTTGTTTGAAAGTCGTGGATTTGGGAAGGAGATTTTGTGTTTGTTTTTTTTTTTTGTGGCAATAATTTCAGAAACAACCTCTAGAAATAAATCCCTTCAGGCACAGAAGTTATCTATGAAGAAAAGAGTGAAATTATTCTGTATTTTGTGTTTTTTGGAGTATCCCTAAATAAGGAAGGACAAGCAGGGAATTTAAGATGAGTTGCCTGCAAGGTTGAAGCCAATTTAAATGTTATTTTATATAATATACATTAAATCCCAAAGGGAATATTCTTACCAGGAGCATTATGACCTTAGTTCAGTGACACTTTTTTTGCTTTATAGTCCAAGAAATTTAAGTTCTGAATGTGCTTAAATTAGACAAACACACTCCTGAAATAAAAAGGTGTCTGGAGTGTGACTCTGGCTGAAATCTTGGATATTGCTTGTGACCCAGGGAGCATTTAATAATGAACTTAAAAACCAAACAGGAGCTCCAATGAAGGAGTCTGGCATCTAAACCTCTGCAAATGTTTGCATTCCACTCCAAAGTTTATAATGATTTTCTTTACTTTAAGCCTAGATTCTCTCTTTTTTCCAAATAAGGCGTTATCAGTCAAAAAAAGAAGTATTTATAAAGATATTTGGATTTGATGTCGTCTGTGTCACAAAAGGAAAATATTTTCCTCTCACAGACGTATTTTTGTGTCATTTTGCATTTAAAAAAAAATCAGAAAGGAGGAGGGACTTTATTCCTTTAGTTGTTGTATTCCTTTAGTTTGCATATTATTAAAACCATATGAAATTTGAAATATTAAGAGGAGATTGAAACTCTTGGAAGGTGCAACTTGTCCAAGCTGGATCCTGCTGGAAAGGGGCAACACTTGTGGACTCGAGGCCTCCTGGGATCAATTCCCTCCTCCCAACCACTGACACTCTTTATTGCCCTCAACAATTCCCTTTTCCCTCCTCGTTCCCACGGGAGCCCTATTAATTTATGGAGTCGTTTAATGGTGCTGATGATGGGAAAAGCACTATGGAAGTAGCCAGGCATGAATTCCTTGGAGGCAGGTAGGGATGGGGCACAGGGGATGCTCCTGCCTGTGGGCTGGGGGAACGTTATCCCAAGGAATGATCCCGGAGAGGTGGAGACACATTCCCAGAGCCCACGGGAAAAGCGGCGCCTTAGGATTGTTAACTCATCTCCTGCCTGATCTTTTGGTGTCTCTGTGTTAATGCTGCACATACCTGGCAGAGGAAAAAAAAAAAAAGGCCAATTACTCCTCCTCCATCGCACTCCTGATTAAAATAAAATCAGATTTTTTTCCCATTAAGCAACAGCTGGTTCCTGGAGTGTGCACGAGGCATTAAAGGAACGAGGCATTATCCCAAAGACATTCTGGTACAAAAGGACACTAATCAATGCTGAGAACATTGGGTATAAATTATTCAGTTAGAATATTCAACTATTTGGTTAGAAACTACTCAGGGCTTCAAAAGGCCCGAGTCCTCCCAGAGCGCGGCTGGATACGACCGACCGTGGATCTGCCTCACCTGGGAAGCTCCAGCAGGACAAGATGCCTCTTCCAGCATCCTGGAAATGTCTGTTTCAGTGGATTATTATCAGGAATAAATGGTGGAGTGGCCTCTCCCCCCTGCTAGAACCTGATGGCTGGAACTTGTGCCTCCTTCCTTCGCCACAACGTTAATTTTTAATGCGACCATTTTCAAAATAAAGTCATAATGCGCCTCATAAATCACCAATAAACCACTTTGGTTTCTCTCAGCCCCGGGCAGGGGATACTAAAACATTCCTACCATTAGCAGGGAATGTGGGAGCGTTCTCCACACAGCATTTCCTCTGTTGCTTCCATCTGAAATCGTGGAAATGTGGGAAGCAAAAGGCGGTTCCAAATCAACCCCTGGGTCACTATTTATTGTCTTAATTGAATGATCATGTGAGGATTTTTAGCACTTTTCTGACAGCTGCAAAGCAATTTGCTGTGACTTAGAGTTAAAAAAGCAGAGCTGGAGGTACAGGTGAGATGGAAAATGGAAAGAGAAGGGGGTGGGAGAGGAGGGAAATGTTTTGTTATCACAGAATCAGAGACTCATTCAGGTTGGAAAAGACCTCCAAGATCCTTGAGTCCAATTTGTGTCTGATCCCCACCTTGTCACCCAGAGCAGAGCACTGAGTGCCACATCCATTATTATTATTATTATTATTATTATTATTATTATTATTATTATTATTATTATTATTATTATTATTATTATTAAATGCCAGGAGTTGGACTCGATGATCCTGGTGGGTCCCTTCCAACTCAGCACATTCCATGAGTTTATGATCCAGTCATTCCTTGAACACCTCCAGGGGTGGGGATTCCACCACCTCCCTGAGCAGCCCCTTCCAATGCTTTGCAACCTTTTCCATGAAGAAATTCCTCCTGATTTCCCACCTGAACCATCCCAGCTCCTGGACAATTAACTGCCTCTCAACTTCTTTGTTGCCACTTTGTAGCTCTGTATTGCACAATATGAATTTAATATTTTTAATGGATATTTTAAATGACTAACAAAGATTATTTTTGCTCATTGAAACCTTCTTTCTCTTCAACTTTGATAAGGTACCAAAGCTGAGAGTGCATATTTTTGTCCAGTAGAAATGAAATGTCAGCACTGGAATAATAAGACAACTTCATTCCCCAGGTTCCAAGAATTTCCATAATAATTTCCTTGAGCACCTTCCCAAGTGTTTTTGTCTCTACTTCCAATTCCACACAAATCCTGGGGCCCACAGCCCATGATTGTCTCTTAATTGGGCAAAATGTGATTTCTAATTAACTGTGCTCCACGACCTTAAGTGACACAAAGTTTGTATTCACACCCGCATTCCCAAGCTCCTGAGGGACTTTGGGAATGCTGGGGTAGAAATCAGCATTAGCAACAGGCAAAATATGTGATTTCTGGGATTGGGAAGGGAATCGTAACATCCATATCTAGAGGAAAGAAATATATTTATGTTTGAATACAGACAATATTCCCTGGCACAGAGGTACTATGAAAATATTCCATAGACATTTGGGTTACACAAACTTTTTAGGAAAATTCCCATATTTTGATATTTGGATGCCTTAGGAACGGGTCAAACATGAGTCAGATCCAGGAAACAGCTTCCAAGTTGAGTTAAATGGGGCAACAACAGAGGAGTCAAAGGGGTTTAAGACATTTAAAGAGCCACAGAGCCATTTGATACAGAACCATCTCAAGCTGACAAGTTTTCCAGCTTCTCCTGGCAGCCAAATTTCCTGCTCTTATCAGAAAGTGTCTGAACAGGCATATTTCCATCTTATTTCTCTGTGTACTGTGGAAAAAAGCAGAAGAGTGTTGGACACAAAGACAATTATTGTGTCTTCAACTGTTCTCTCCACTGGAGCAAAGAGCTCCTTCTTTGGTTATTTTCTGCCTGATTTTCAGATGATAATTCTCCAAATGGGAGCTCTTCTCAGTGCTCCTCTTCTCTGAGCTCTGCTCTGGATCTTTCCGTGCCTCCTGGTCCAGCCTGAGTGGAAAATGTTGGGGGTTTTCATGGTGGGACATTTGGGAGTTGAGTTTCTGTCACTCACAACTTGGAAGGAGGAAAGGCTGGGAAAAGTGGGATTGTTCAGCCTGGAGAAGAGAAGCTTTGGGGTGACCTGATTGTGGCCTTGCAGGAGCTGAAGGAGTTCCAGGAAAGATGGAGAGAGACTATTTCCAAGGGCTGGAGGGACAGGACAAGGGAAATGGTTTCAAACTGACAGAGGGCAGAGTTAGATGGGATATTGGGATGGAATTCTTGGCTATGAGGGTGGGGAGGAGCTGGGATAGAATTCCCAGAGAAGCTGTGGCTGCCCCTGTATCCCTGGAAGTGTCCAAGGCCAGGTTGGACAGGGCTTGGAGCAGCCTGGGCTAGTGGAAGGTGTCCCTGTAGAGGGCAAGGGATGGGACTGGATGATTTTTAAGGTCCCTTCCAGCACAAACCATTCCACGATTCCCACTCTGGTGGCACAAAGGGATTTCAGTGGAAACCAGTGATCTGTCCAATCACAGCAATGTCTAGAAAACTTTTAGGTTTCCCAATAAACGCAGCAAAACCCAGGTTGTGGGAACAGTCACAATTTCCTTCCCATTGTCCTTCAATGTGCTGGGAATGAGTAGCCAGGAATCACAGACTCATGGGCTTGGAGCAACCTGAACTAGTGGCAGGCGTCCCTGCCCATGGCAGGGGTGGCACTGGATGACCTTTAAGGTCCATTCCAACCCAAACCAGTCTGGAATTCTATAAAAACGAAGTTTCAAGAGTCTCAGGTGCTTGGGCTCAAATCTTGGGTCCTCAGCTGCAGAACCTTGTGCTGTCTGGTGTCCTCTCGCCTCCTCGCATTGAGGCTCAGGGATTGAAGGAATGACTTCCCAAAGCACCCTGAGTGGGTCTATCTGCAATTCCAAGAGCCCTCTTTGGCCCTGCTGGGTCTTTTCTCCATGGCAGGGGCAGCTCCAGCTCCAGGTTGAGCCCATGGAGCAGCTCTTCCTGCCAGGAACAGCCCCAGGGCCGTGGATTTTCTCAACATTGTCCTGCAGGGATAAATCCCACTTAGAGAGTTCCCGTGGGAATAAACAAGAATGAAACAACAGCAAAGACAAAGATGCAGAAGAAGCTGAAAGGATGTTATTTTACCTTCAAAGAATGAGATTGTTGAGACTCTTGATTAAAATTAGAGAACTCGGTGCTTCTTCCAAGCAAGGAAAAGCAAAAGCCACACTGGAATCCATCCTGGAATTTGCTGGTTTTCCTCATTCACCCTCCTGGAGAAGGAAGGTTGGTGACAAATCCAGAGTGGCCACAGGCAGGAACCAAATTTTGGAATTTCTCTTTGCCCTCTTGGCTTGGATTTCTTGCTCCAGGAAAAACTTAAGTCCAAAGACTAAGTGAAGTGAACTGGTAGAGTCTGGTTTTGGAACGGGCACAAATAGTGGTGTTTTAAGTGTGTGTTATAAAGTTATCAAACAAATAAAAAAATAAAAATCAATTATTTTTTAGAAGCTAATCTGGAGCCGTTAACAAAGGTGTCATTTTCTTCAACGTAAAATTGAGTTACTGGTTGAAATGCTTAAGAGGATAATACACTTTACAAAACTCCAAAGCTTTGTAGAACCTACATGAAAACAGTCAGATCTCTTTCATATGTGTTTTGCCTGTGAAAAAGATGTTAAAAAAGATGTTTTAAGCAATTCCTAATATGCAGCAGAAAACAATCCCAGTGAAAATGAAAATTCAGGGAAAATGGAAATTCAGTGAAAATGGGAATTCAATGAAAATGGAAATTCAATGAAAATGAACAACTACTTCAGTGAATATGTCCCAGCACTGCCACAATTTGGAGGGAGGTTCTTGAAAAATGTATATATTTTCTCTAGATAACTATTTTGAAAATGACTGCAGGAAGGCAATATATTAGCAATTAAATTAGTGTGTTTTAGCACAACAAGCAATAAACTGCTTAACACTGAGCTCCTGTGAATTAAAAGCCAGAACAGCATTGGACAAAAGTCAAGGTTATGCTGACACATTTATTTCTCAGCAAATGAAGACTGTTTAGTTTTAATGCATTTGTGGTTAGCGATAGTTTCGAAAGATCAATGTAAATTCATTTTGAACTAGTAAATAATGCCTTAATGAGACTTCTGACAGCATGCTTTCACACCTTCTGGCTCCTTACCTTTCAAAATGCCCAAAGGTGAGCCCATTTTTCCTGGCATTTCACAATAAACAAATAACACGAGGCCGTATTTTATGACTTGTGTGCTGCAGTTTGGGTTTTAACAACCCCATGACTGCCGTGGCTAAGCCCACAGTGTGTTATTGTTCTCCTCCTGGCAAGGCTTATAACTCCTCTTTGGGGTAAAAGAGAAGTTCAATGATCCTTTTTTTTTTTTTCTTTTTTGGCTTCACGAAGGAGTTTCTATGAAATGAAGGGCAGGATTTTACCATAAAGCTCTGATGGTATCAGGGTGTAAAACATCTGCCACGCTGGGGTTTATAAAGCACTGCTCCATTTTCTAGCCAGGAACCCAACTTGGTTGGAATGTTGGTCTTTGGAATCCTTTTGCAGGTATTTAAGAGGTGTTGAATGGAACAGTGAGTCCAGAATGTGCTGAGTTGGAAGGGACCCACCAGGATCATCCAGTCCAACTGCTGGCCCTGCACAGGACCATCCCCAAGGGTCATCACCCCTTGTGCCCCAGAGGATCATCCAAACCCTCCTGGAGCTCTGGCAGCCTTGGGGCTGTGCCCACTGCCCTGGGGAACCTGGTCAGTGCCCAGCACCCTCTGGGGAAGAACCTTGTGCTGAGATCCACCCTGACCCTGCCCTGTCTCAGCTCCAACCCTTCCCTGGGTCCTGTCCCTGCTCCCAGTGAGCAGAGCTCAGTCCTGCCCCTCCTCTGCCCCTCCTGAAGAAGTTGGAACTGCAGTGAGGTCTCCCCTGAGCCTCCTCTTCTCCAGCTGAACACCCCAAGTGCCCTCAGCCTCTCCTCACGAGGCCCTTCCCCATCCTCCTGGCCCTTCTTTGGATACTCTCCAATAGTTTATTGACTTCCATGGCAGTCACAAGGATTTCCCAGCAGGAGTATGAGGTGGCATCACTTCCTGCAGGGGTAAAGCCACAAGGATGTGGTGCAGGTTGTCCCAAAAAAAGTCCCCAGAGTCGCTGGGTGGGCAGAATTTGAGGCTTGCAAGAGGGAACGTCAGAGAATCACAGAATCACAGAATGATTTGGGTTGGGAGGGACCTTAAAGCTCATCTTTCCACTCCCTGCCATGGGCAGGGACACCTTCCACTAGCCCAGGTTGCTCAGAGCTCCATCCAACCTGCTCTTGAACACTTCCAGGGGTGGGGGAATGTTTTTCCAAAGTGCAGATCCACACCACTTATGTGAAGGAAGATGATTTTAGGCGACAGCCCAGCACCCTCCCAGTGGCACCAGTGACTTCTGAGGGGACAATAATCATCTGCTTTCTGACTCAGGACCCTGCTTTGAGCCAACTCCACAGGTCTGAAGGCAAAACAGGAAACATAAATCTTTCATAAATCGTAAGAAAGTTCTAAAAATAACTCCAGAGCTCTCTCAGAGCGGGTTTTTAAAGTCTGACACCTCACAGCTTGCCAGATCTCTAAGGGAGTATTCTGGCAGTCAAATATATAGAAATATTCCCCTTCCTAATGACATCCAGCTCCCTTATTCTGCCTCTAATAAAGTGGCAAGAATAATAAACTGGATCTTAAACCTGTCATGTCCTTGTGACTGCCATCCATCCCTGACCTTGAAGCAACATAATTCATAGGAAGGGGGGTTGCTAAATCTTGGCAGGAAATGAGTATTCCTTTGGCTCTCGTCTTCTGGTGAAGCAAGTTGCTGTTTCAGGAACCATTCCTGAGGAAAAACACACGTCTTCAAACCTCCTCCAGGGCTGCTTCCAACTCCTGGGGGGAAATTGGGCCCTTCCCAAGGCACCTGCCCTGGCTGGGATAGGGATGTGCTCCGAGGGCTTCAGGACAAGGCTGTGCTTTCCTGAGCAAGGCTGGCAGGGTGTTATCACAGAGATTTTGATAAGAATCTTCATTACTTTTAACAGATTTGGGGTTTGGCCCTTGATTCTCCAGGCAACCATCTCAGGAAAGCCGATGTTTACAGGCAGTGACACGGAGGGAAAGCAGGGAAGGATCCAAACTCTGAGCCTTAAACTGAAAACCTCCTGTCTGATATTTCATTTACTTCTTTGTTTTCTTCTTTTTTTTTTTTTTACTGTTTTCCCATCCCTGGAAGTTCTCCAGGCCAGGTTGGATGGAGCTCTGAGCAACCTGGTCTGGTGGAAGGTGTCCCTGTCCGTGGCAGGGGGTTGCAATGAGATGATCCTTAAGGTCCTTTCTATCCCAAACCATTTTATGATTCTAAATGCAGTAAAGTCGAATGATTTCTAATCATTCTAATCAACTGTATTTTAAGGGTGTCTTCAACAACTTTGGTAAATTATCTGAAGGTTTTTAGTGTTAAACAGGTGGGTCTCAGTGCAGCTCACTGGACTTCACAGGTCTTGCTGTGCTCATTTTTGGGACTACAGATTGAGACATGACCCACCCCCTTGGAGAAAAGAATGAACTGGGACAAAATTAATGATGAATATGGAGTTTTAGTCAAGTGGAAAAGCAAGTAGAAAGATTGCAGAGGTGCAACTGTGTGAAATAGGCAGTTCTGAGAATCAGACTCTGAGAACAATCCATAAAAAAAAAAAGAAAATAAAAGCAGAGAAAAACCAACTTTCCAAACCTGGAAAGAAATGAATCGACCCAATCAACCTAGAACGGAGCAGGGACAATTAAAACAGAGTCCATAAAACTTTACAAGGAACTCCTCCAAAAGTGTGAAGGGAAGAAAAGTCTTGCAAAGTGATCAAACAGGACCCGTGCCAGTGGTTAGACTGAAAGGAAACAATTGTCCCTCTCCGAGGGAAAAAGTCAAACTGCCACCAGGGTGTTACAATAATAAGAATGCACAGCAGCTCCAGCAGGAGATGAAAAGCTGAACAGGGGAAGTGAGGTGGAAATGCTGAGTTATTTACCCAGATTCATTTTGGCCGAGTGGATTTTCTCCCTTTGACCCGTAGCAACCTTTGCATGGAGAGAGGGATTAAGCTGTGTTTAAATTCCTTTTAACAAAGCCTTTTTATTATTACTATTATTTTTATTATTATTATTCGGTGAAAAATTCACCACTTCAGAAAACCATTTTTGAGAAAGTACAGAAATGCTCCTTCTGTGCCTTCAGCAATTTTTTTTATTCATTAACCCAATTTTGCATCTTAGATGAGATTTCCAAATGTGTAACCAAACCTACACGGTCACATAAGTGTCCTACAAAAAGAATAAAACCCTAAAAGAGGGGGTTTTTTTGTTCATTAACTCAATTTTGCATCTTAGATGAGATTCCTGAACATGTAATCAAAACTACACAGTCACCTCAGTGTCCTACAAAAAACATAAAACCCTAAAAGAGGGGTTTTTTTTGTTTATTAACCCCATTTTTCATCTTAGATGAGATTCCTGAATGTGTAACCAAAACTACATAGTCACATAAGTGTCCTACAAAAAGAATAAAACCCTAGAAGAGGTGTTAGGCTTTCAACTGGTTTAAACAAGCACATAAAGATTGGACTTGATGATCTCCAGCCTAACTGATTTTTTGATTCTG